AGGTGTTACAGGCAGCCTGTGTTGTTAGTGGGTCCGGCCTACTTCCACTTAAAAACTTAAGTTATCGTGCGCACAGACAGACGCGAAACTTTTTGATCATCACTGGGGTAATAGGCTTCGCTAATCGCTCAGCCAAAAATCAAAAACCACAGGCCCCCAAAATGACGTTTTTTAAAAATATTTTTTTACTGTTTCCTAAGGGGTAACGTGTCAAAGTAGAGTCCTTCGGCCGATAACGTCGTCCATTTGGCTTTATCTTTAACCGTTTAGGCACTAGAGGGTGTTTTCTACACGAAAATGACCGCAAAACATTTCTATGTTTTTTCACAGACATTTCTCCGGTAGGGTAATAAATAAACTTGTTAAAATATAAAACCCCGAGGAACAAAATTTGTAACTTTTGGGGCTAAATGCCTACCTACGACTTTGACCCGACTCGGGTGTCAGGTGTCAGCGCCGCAGGCCTAGGTAGATGTATGCCAGGCGCGTCGCAGCGTAACACTTTCGTGAGATATCGCGAAGCCTGTTACGCGGGACGTGGTCTGGCGTACACCTACCTAGTTACTCTAGAGTTAGGGACATGAAACTTCTGCTGTTCGGTAACGGTTTTCATAAAACGTTCTAATTTTGACAGATTAAAATGTAACAATTAACGTTTTAGAGATACAAGATAACCTTGAGCCTAAAGGAGGGTGTGGTTCGACCCGTAATGTGTGGTGTAAGTATTACTCCCTTTACAATTCTGTGACATGAAGCCATTTTTACGATTTAATAGACCATTTTGTCTTTTTGACGTTGTTATATTTGATAAAAATACATTTTGCGACCTGTAGTTTTTGTTTTTTTTTGAAAGAATTTTTGAGCTGAAATGCCCATCTTCGAACTCGATCTGTCTTTTTATGATACAAAACGACCCTGAAATTTCCAGATTTGTCTCTCAATTCTTTCTCGAGTTATCGTGCTGACAGACAAACAAACAGAATGAAACTTTTCCGGTCAGTGTAGTAATGGGCTTTGCTTATCGCTCAGCCAACAAATTTTGGAGGGCAATGAGGGTGGTTCTTATGGCGGGCCTGCGCCTGAGCCTGGGCCTGTTCGTTGCCCTGTGGCGGGTCCATGGAAGAGGGCTGGGGAGGGGCGCTGGCCCGCTCGGTGGCCTGGACTGCAGGGCGGGGAGTGTAGCGGACCATCGGCTGCGCAGCGCCCCGAGGATCAAATCCCCTCATACGGGTAAACACGCTCTGCATCAAGAAGGGTGTCTCAGTCCACGAAAATCATTACCAAGCCAATATGATTACTGTGACGCGCGGAATTTCGAGGGGGTTGGGGTTTGCCTTAGTTGGCCGGTTCCGCCCGGGTTTGGAGGGGTCGCGGACGCGTGGTTTTTTTTAAATTTCGAACGCGCGTCACTTTTCTACTTTTGCCGCCTTGATCGCCTGAGCGCCAGCTCAGGTGTGGCCGGTCTAGCAGACGATGGGGTCAGCTGACCGGCCGGGCCAATGGGTGCGAGCGAGAGCGAGTGAGGCGAGCGGGGGCCGGCGGCCGGACGCTGGACCTCGGTCACTCAGAGAGCGACAGCAGCGAGGGAGGGTCTCCCTCGGAGGGACCCGAGCACCTGTAATGTTTTTCTTTTGAACATCCGTGCGTCACCCGCACATTGTGCTTGGTGAGTCTGGTGGCTACTTTCCGATTCCCGATTTTAGTAGTGAGACATCCGTGTGCTAAATGTATCTGTTCCTTGCAGGGTCCTAGTTTTCCGTCTTTAGACGTGGTACACACTATGTGTTTCCCTTTGGGATTGTCGCCCTGATGGCGTTATGGTTCTGCTGGGTCGACGGGAAGGTGGGCTAGGCCCCCCATTCTCACCGGCGGTCTGCCCGTGATGTCACCAGCAGCAAGTCTTGTGTTGTCGATCTCCGTCCGCCCCGCCGGGGCCGGGTCGGTCTGCTTCGTGGTGAAGCACTCACTCTCTCTCCATCACCATATTGCTCGTGTGAGTTTATTTTGTGGTTCTGTAACCTCGTGTTTTGTACAACCAAAATAGTATCTTCCTGGTTCCGCGGCGGTACGGTCCGTTCTGTTGTACTTTTGGTGCTTTGGCTCTACTTTGTTTATGGTGTCTCGGGGAAGGCGCGGGGGTCGGCGAGGCCCTTGCACGTTGTTGTATGCGGCGTGCCCGGCTGGCTCCCCGTCTCTCCTCGTTGCGCTTGAGTTTAGCTTTTTGTCCTTTAGGGATTCGCGCCTTTTAAAGTTTTGATTGACGTACCGTCCGCGGACCAGTTGGGTTGCCTGCCCTCCCGGCGCGCGTTCGAAAGGTTGCCTAACTTCCAGTTATGGTTGGTTCAGTTCTTGTTGTGAGATTTAGATGATGTGATTTGTATATAACTATTATGTTATTTTAATTGTCTAGTCTTTGAGAACGGCTCCCTTTCAGTTTTGTGTTTAGCACTTGTATTTAAGATCTTTATGATTCGACCAGCAGCAATTCGCCATTTGTGTTATTGTCTTTAGTGCTATGTTTTTGTATTCAATAAACATTCTACTCTGTGCTACATTGTTCGTGACGTATTTTGGTGAGATAATATAGTTTATCTCTGGCGCCCTTATAAAATAAACCAAAGACTCACGCCACTCTGCCTATTCGGGAAATACTGAGCTAGTTGGCTGTTTCTAGTAGCCTGGCAAAAAGTGCACGTTACATTACTTTACATACCTTCCGGGGTTGGGCTGTAGCCGGCCGCTCCTCAAGCCGATCGAATACAGACTGCAACGTCAAACACAAAAGTAAGACGAAACGTCGGATGTTTACTTCAAATGAAAGCTGTAAAATGTTCAACTTACGACTCGGGCAAGCTTGGGAGCGGGCTGCAGAACGGGCTGTGCGGTGGGGTGGGGAGCGGGCTGGGGAGCAGCCTCGATGCGCTTGTGCGCAACCCTGCGACGACCAGATGGAGCCACAACGACCTCGTCCACACACTATAACAAATAAGTGGAATCAGTAAAAAAAACGGTGTAGGATCTCTAGCTCTTAAACTGCGTCAATTAACTTACGCCATCGCGCGCCTCCTCCTCTAGCAGGTCGGGGAGCGAGAGCGGGTGTGGGGTTGGCTTCATGACCTCCTCAGGTGCCTCCTCCTCACCGAGGGTCTTGAGGACGGCTGGAGCGTAGGAAGTCGTGTGTACACCGGCAATCGGCGAATAGCTCCCTATAGTCGGTTTTTGGCCACAGTGGTCCACGGAGTATAAATGATGTTCCTGGCGATCCTTCAGAACTGTGGCCCGAAACTGGTGGTGAATGTAAAGTGAAAGGTATCCCGCGAAGGGCGAGGCTCGAACCCGAAGGATCGAAAGAGCCTGCGGGGTCGCGAGGAACCAAGGGCTCGCTTGACGCTCTCCCGTGAATGAGGCACCATGTGGGGTACGCAACGCATGTAAACATATCTAGGGCCCTCGCGAGTACACCCCCGACCCCTTCTCATGAGCCCTAAAGTTGCCTTTTCCAACAGCGCCTGCGGCCAGCGGGTAGGCAGCCCTACATACCCTCTGGTAGCGGGTGACACACCCAGTACATCCCGCCCCCACCCTGGGAGGAGATTTTCTGTGTCGTGAGGATTCTGTGTCATGATTTTCTGTGTCGTGAGGATTCTGGGTCGTGCGGAAAATGATTCTGTGTCGTGAAGATTCTATGTGGTGACGTGCTTGCTTTCTGGGTCGTGAAAGATCCCTCCACAATTTTCTGTGTCGTGATTTTCTGTGTCGTGGGGATTCTGTGTCGTGATTTTCTGTGTAGTGAGGATTCTGTGTCGTGAGGGTGGTTCTGTGTGATGAAGTCGAAGCAAACTTATTCTGGGTTGTGAAGCAGCGGCCCCTTAGATTCTGTGTCGTGAGGATTCTGTGTGATGAAGCCCTACCGCTGGAGCCTCGTGGGCAGGGGCCTTGCTAGCGGCGGCGGCGGGATCCTCGCAAGACTGCTGGAACGAAAAATCTATCGTTACTGTGAGCACAGGGCCGACGAGGGACGGTGTTGGTGCGTGATCAGCTAGAGCCCCTCTTCCCGTTTCCAGGAATACCCGCGCACCCACCGAGGGGACGCCATTGGCGTCGTGACAAAGAAATCGTAACGTGTAGCAAGTAAATGGCTTAAAGCTAAGTAGAATAGGGTATCCCTCTAGAGCGCGGAGCGAAACTATGAAGAACAAAAGCGGATACAGAGCATGGTGGTGGGGGCGGGCGGGGAGGCTCCCCTACTACTCACCGCTCCCCCGCGCGCCCACCCCCACTACAGCTCTCTGTTTCCGCTTTTGTTCTTCTTAGTTCCGCTCCGCGCTCTAGAGGGATACCCTGTAGACCATTTCGCCCGAGCGCTTTTCGACCTCTCGAAGAACAACAAGCAGGCCCGCCCTTCCGCCAAACGAAGTTGCCAGCTTCGCTCACAGCAAGCAGTGTTTCCCTACATTCTCCAAGTGTGTGTGCTGCTTTTAAGCCCATATTAATCAATTCAAGAGTTTAATTTACCCCAGACCTTATATCAGACTTGGCCCCGTTTCTTCAACTCCGATAATGTTCGACATCATCATGTCAGCTTGAGTATGCCAACGGCAAAGTGCACCAGCATTAAAAAATGGATTGAAAGGTTGTGATAAGAGAAACACAAGTTACAAATATATAAAATTTAATTTTAAATAAAATTATCAGTCTTGCCCTATGGGCGGGGTCAAAATAAAAATAAAAATTATCACATCCCCATCTGGGGTCAATCATTTTCCCCTACTTCTTGGGAGCGGGGTTCTGTACAGAAGAAAAGCTAGAGTTAGTCAAAGTCAAAGGGTTGACGAAGGGTGTGGGGAGAGTACATGCACACTTACAGCCGGGCGGGTGCGGCGGCGCAGGGTCGGGTCGGGGACCTCTTCTGCAACGGCAGCGTCGTCGCCTGCAGCCGGTGCGGCGACGTCGGGGGCGGCGAAGTGGGCCGCGGCCATCAGGGGGGCCACCTCTGCCAAGCCATGGGGTGCCGGCTGGCGGGGCGCGGGGACGGGCTGACGGGGCCGGGCCTGAGGCTGGCGGGGCCTCGCCTCCGGCCTCACAACGACGACCTACAACAAAAGACCAAGTTAGTCGACACATCAAGAGTTGGAAAAGCACGAGGACGAGTTGATACTCACCGGGGCCTCCGCCGCCTGCCGCACTGCCTCGGTGGCTTCCTTGGCCGCTTGCTTGTCGGCGCGGCGCGTTACGGCCTCCGCGCGCCTGATGGCGTCCCTCATCGCCGCCGCGCTGATCAGGGGCTTGGGCTCGGGGGCGGGGTCCTGGGTGGCGCGGCCGGGGCGGGTAGTGGCGGCCTGGCGCAGCCCGGCCCCGTACCATTGGCGGTCTCCCCGCTCACCCAGGTGGCTGTGAACAGGCTGTAAGGAAAAGAGTTAGACAGTGCCAAGTACATCACGCTGGAGGAGATGGTGAGAGACTTACCCCGCGCTGAGGAGGGGGGCCAATGAAACGGCGCCCGCGCCAGATGCCACGGCCACGCCCGCGGCCTCGCGCCGCCGGGGTGGGCTCGTCCTCCTCGTCGCGTTCCCCAAGACGCTCGTGAACAGGCTGAACAGACAAACAGAGGTTAAGGCGACATCCAACTTGCAACGGCACAGAGCTAAGAACGAGGATACTTACGATGCGGGGCGTGGGGTGGACTATCGCGATCCTGCTTGCAAATACCCTGCCGGCCTCCTTGGCATTCTCCTCCTCCGCCATTGTGGGGCGTGACGAGGGCCCTGCGGCCCAATCTTGGGGCGGGCTCGGGACGGCGGCAGCCCCTGGAGGGCGCTCGCCCATCAAGCGCAAGTTGACACGCTGAAAAGATAGAAATTCGATAGAGATCCACATGCGGCGAGGTTAGGAAAGGGGCGGCAAACTCTCGCGGTTATTTCGAAAAGCGCGGCGAACTCAATCGCAGATTTGAAAAGCGCACTTGTGAATCAACGAGTTCAAGAATGAATGGCGGAGGGACACTCGCGGTAGCAACAGGTTAGGGGCTGATCACTTCTCCGGTCTCACACGGATTTCACACACTATAGTACTCACCACTTGTTCCTCTTCAGAGGAATCGCTCGCAAACAATTGCAGACAATCTTCATCAGTGGACTACATCTTGATTCACACACAGAACTCTCAAACAAATCACGTCACTCTGCCTCTACCTCTACCTCTACAGACCATCTGACGAGATGGCACTTGGCCCGGACCTACTCAACCGACCCGCCCCCGCCTCGACCAATCAGAGCGCAGCACAATTTCAAATCGGCGACGGCACTGACAGGTGTCAATATTCACGTTTTTTTCGCGTTTTAACCATTTGGTGACGTCGCGCGATACGGCGGAAGGCGTGTCCATCCTTAGTCTTCCTTGTTTCAACTCGCACCGCTTTATTTGATGCATTAAAACACTTTATTCAGCTTAAACGAGGCCCGCGGTCGGCGCCGCCATTCAAACGGCGGGCACTCGTTGGCTGAGCGGCGCGGCACCGTCGAAAACGCTTTTCGAGGACTGTGTGATGTGTTGAAGATTTATAATTTGTATTTTCAATGAATGGCGTTTTGGGTTGGAGGCTTTGGCGGGAACCCGGCCGGTGGTCCAGCAGCTGGCCCGAGCATGCGCACAACACTTTGGCATTCCCTATTGTAGTTCCACAACCCGCCACCAGAGGCGCACATTTGAATTTGGGCGCGGTGGATCCAGCTCGCAACTTTAAGGCACCAAGAGGATTTGACGCAGCCCATCCCTACACCCCGAGGAGACACCCCACCCCCCCTCCCCGCAACCATGAGGATTCCCGACCTGCACCCCGCAACTTTAAGACACCAGAGGACCTGCACTTAGGCCAGTCCGAGGTTATGCCCCTCGGGGGGCGTGGGTCAGGCTCTCGCACGGGCGCATCCCCGAACGGAATAACGTATACCCCCTCACTCCACCCATCCCCCCGCCTCGAGGGGACCCCCACCCATGCCCGCTACAATAAGGTACCGCAACTTTTGCCGCAACAATGAGGTACCGGGAGATTTGCCGCAACTCATCCCCAACAGGTGTCAAAAAGGTGCCAGAGGATATGACTCAACCCCCACCCCCCAACAGGTGACAATAAGGTGCCAGAGGATATGACTCAACCCCCACCCCCAACAGGTGACAACAAGGTGCCAGAGGACCTGCACTTACGCCCTCCGAGGTTGAGCCCCTCGGGGGGCGTGGGTCAGGCTCTCGCACGGGCGCATCCGATATCCCCGAACGGAATAACGTATACCCCCTCACTCCACCCATCCCCCCGCCTCGAGGGGGACCCCCCACCCATGCCCGCTACAATAAGGTACCGCAACTTTTGCCGCTACAATAAGGTACCCTTACTACTACTGTTCTTTATTGCACCAACTAGATAAGAAAGGCTTTTTAGCGGGTGACGGGTCATCGGTGTCCTTGCCGGGGGTACCTTTCTTGGAGTTAAAGGACCCACCTCTTTTCTTTTTATTCTTTGGCGTGGTGGACCCGCTCTTCCTCTTCCTATTTATGCCTGCCTGTTCACCACCCGAGTCAGGGTCGACATCATCTTCGTCCTGTTCTTGGAGAATCTCCTCTAGATCCATTGTATTGACGTATTCACTATCTGTCAACACGTGAGGGAAAGGTTATGTTTACCACTATGTTTTTAGCCCGCCCTTCTGCTTTGAAAAAGCTATTCAGCGGGCTTATGCAAACGACATCGTGTCTGTCTGTGTGTCTGTCTGTTTGTCTGTTCCACTAGAAGGAGATGTGCTAGAGACTTCAAATTTTCAGGGTATCTTAAGGTCCACTCCTAGAGAACGAAACGCCTACGGCAAATCCTGGCAACCACCCCTAAAGGGCGAAGAGGGGGTATCAAAGAAAATAAGGTAGGTCAAAAAAGTTAGAGCAAAACGGACAAATTTGTCTATCTCTCACCGTTTGGGCGCTAGAGGGAGTTTCTATCACGAAAGTGGCCCAAAAATAAACATATTAATTTGAGAAATATTAGATGGTCTCCTAAGGGGTACCTTGCCAAAGTAGAGCCCTTTGGGCGAAAATTTTGTCTGTTTTGCTCCATCTTATACCGTTTGGGCGCTAGAGGGAGTTTCTCTCACAAAAGTGGCCCAAAAATAAATTTATTAATGTCCGAAAATATTGGATGGTCTCCTACGGGGTAACTTGTTAGAGTAGAGCTCTGTCTTCGGGCGAAAATTTCGTCCGTTTGACTCTATCTCTAACCGTTTAGGCGCTAGAGGGTCTTGTTTGACGAAAATAAGTTAAAAATAGCTGTAGTGAACAATTAAATGTAAAAGAAGGCCCAAAACCGCAAAAGAGGTAAGAAACTCCCTCCACCCCAAAAAACGTTTCCTTAGCAGAAGGGTGGGTTGTAGTCGCGGTGTTTCACCGTTACATCCCTTTCTTGTTTCTACGGGGCAAATTTTAAGGACGACGGGCTTTGAGGGCCGAAGGCCTGTTACATCATTTGATTATGTTGTACAGCAAATCGCGTGACAGAAATGGTCGGGCCGCAGGCCTGACCATCGCCGCCGGCAGGCCAAGCAGGCCCGGCCCCTGCCGAACGGAGTTGCCGGCGCAGCGAAGCGAAGCTGGCAACTTCGTTTGGCGGAAGGGCGGGCCTGCTTGTTATTTACTTTGCTCGTTGAGTCGGGGATTGCACCCATTAAAATAAGTTCATTCGGCGCTCAACTATCGAGCGCTGACAAATGTTAATTCTATTTCGAATAATATCTTACCTGGCTGTCAGATCTATCTGCCTGCCTCAAACTCAAACCAAAACACGGGTAGTGGTAAACAACCGATGGCGCACTAACACTTTGCCATACTCGAAAAGAAGATCCGGTACCGCCAACGTATGAATGAAATGCTGACAGAACAACGACAAATATCTGTTCAAAGTCGGCCTGCCGGTGGCGGTGGTCGGGCCTGCGGCCCGACCGTTTCCGTCACGCGATTTGCTGAAGAACATGATCGAATGATACAGCGAGACTCGAGAAAGGGATGTAACGGTGAAACACCGCGACTACAACCCACCCTTCTGCTTAGAAAACGTTTTTTGGGGGTGGGGGGAGAGTTTCCTTTCTAATTTGCGGTTTTTAAACCTTTCACTACTACTTATTGTTCACTTTTGCAATTTTTAACTTATTTTCGTCAAAAAAGGCCCTCTAGCGCCTAAACGGTTGGAAATAGAGCGAAACGGACGAAATTTTCATCCAAAGGATCGCATTTTTGAACCGTGTACCCCCATTCACACCCTAAGGGGTGGTTGCCAGGATTTGCCGTAGGCGTTTCGTTCTCTAGGAGTGGACCTTAGGTACCCTGAAAATTTCAAGTCTCTAGCACATCTCCTTCTAGTGGAACAGACACACAGACAGACACACACGAGATCGTTTGCATAAGCCCGCTGGATAGCTTTATCAAAGCAGAAGGGCGGGCTAGTAAAAAGCCGTTCACCTGGAAATCACGGGGTGATGAAGGTGATTTTGTCTTGTTTTAACAGGTGAGCTACCCACTCCATTCAATGTGCAATGGAAAATCAGAATTTCTTTAAAGAAATGGTGAAGATAGTTTGAGACAGTAAGGTTATCTATATCTAATGCTTTCACTTTATTTTGTACAACATGCTGTTGTATCAGAGTAACAAGGTAGATGTACGCCAGACCACGACTCGCGTAACAGGCTTCGCTATATCTCACGAAACACTGTTACGCTTCGACGCGCCTGGCATACACCTACCTTGGCCTGCGGCGCTGACACCCGAGTCGGGTAGTGCAAAAATGTACACAAAGACAGGCCTCTGGCCCGTTAACGGCCTTCACTTCGACCAAGCATGCAGGGTTGTACATTATTTTGCTTGTTTTCGTCAAAGTACCCTCTAGCGCAGGTGTCTCAGAGTCAGATCTGTGAGCGGGCCGCACGGAGCTGTGCGAGATAGATTCGTTGCGTCGAGCGAGCGCGCGGCCAAGGTGAACCGGGCGGCGAATAGCAATAGGGTATTCCGCTGCAAGCCAACTGATACCTAAAGAAGAAAAGCATGACTGCCTTATCTCTTACCTCCTGAACACTGATTGGTCAACGATGACCTTGTTACGTCGGTCAGCCAATGAGCGCACAGCGGGAAGCAGATCGAGCAGTCGTGCTTTTCTTCTTTAGGTTCCGGTTGGCTTACAGCGGAATACCGTATAGCGCGCAATAGGGTGTTCCAGGCTATCTAGAACGGAAGTGAAAAAGAACAAACTCACCGATTAATCTGTTTCTGTCTGCTCAGTATGAGAAATTGCCATGGTAGTTTGGCCCGATTCTAACCTCTCAAATATGGAAGCGAGCTCGAAACTGACCTGACGGTTTTTCATACCTGAAACGCCGTCGTGACTCGTGATCAGCTCAACCAATCAGAGCCATCACGGAAACAGAAAAGTCAGTGAGTTTGTTCTTTTCCTACTTCCGTTCTGGATAGCCTGGAATACCCTTTTCAAATCGTCACCGAGCGGGGCGGGGCGGCAGCGCGCGTTTCTAAACGGCATACGGAGAGTAATGTCGAGTGCATGTCATGTCGCAAATAAGACGAAAACAAGTTGGCGGTAGGCAGGCAGCGGATTTAATTTTAATAAAGCATTCCGGTAAAGCTGAAATGCAGAAGAATGCGTGGAAGAGGAAAACGAAAGTCACCATATTACAGCATAGCGATTTCCGTTTTCTTCTTTCCCGCATTCTTCTGCATTTTAGCTTTACCGGAATGCTTTATAGCAGACCCCAAAACATGATAACAAAAATTGTTGTGAGAACAAAAACAAAATATATCACGACCCATCTCAATCAGTAGGGGAAACTTGAGCATTTTTCTCCAGAATTAAATTATTAAAGTCAGGCTGCAGACTACTGCGAGCCATCACCCTCAGTTGTCCAATGAGGTGCTTATCTGTCAGCCGAGACCTGAAACGGGTTTTCACAACTTTCATAAGGGAAAAAAACTGTTCACATACATATGTCGAACGGAACAGGGCCAACATTTTTTCTGTAGAGACACTTCAACTTAGGGAATCTTTCAATTGATAAAAAAGTACAAAACTCAAGTAGCTTTACCGACTGGAATCGAACTTCAAGCACTTTGTCACAGCGCAGATCTATTACTTCATTTTGAAGAGGCAAAGGCACTTCACGAAGGGGCATTGGGAATGGGACTATAATGAGCGAAATCCCAGTTTGCATTTTACGTACATCTTGAGAATTATCTGCAAATTCAATTCTCATTTTTTTTGCAGTGTTTACATATTTGTTTTGATCTACTTGAGTGAATGGAGTTGACAAAGGTTTCAACGATTCAAAATGGAACAGTTCCCCTTTCCGTAATTGTTCCTCGAACAATGAGAGGCGCATTTCAAAGCCCTGCACAGCTTGCATCATGTCTGAAATTACATGACCCTTCCCCTGCAGTTTTAGATTTAGATCATTTAGATCATATCCACCAAAATTGCTAACTCAAAAACCCACTGAGGCCGGTCGAACTCAGGGATAGGGTCCTTTTTTGTCTTTAAGAAATATTTTAATGGTGTCCCTCAAGTCAAAGAACGCCTTCAAAACCTTTGCTCTGCTGAGCCAGCGGACTTTACTGTAGTAGGGAATATCCTCATATTCGCCACCAACTTCCTCCAGGAGAGCACGAAATTGCCGGTGGTTCAGCCCCTGCGCGCGAATTTTATTCACCGCCTTCACAACGTTCATGACCTCATCTGCAGAAAACGATTTGGCGCACAAGGCCTCCTGGTGAATGATGCAGTAAAAATGGGGGAAGTCAGAGGGAAGGCCCAGACTTTTCAAGTGCACCCGCTGACGCGCCACCAAGCCATATTTCTTGTCCCCACAAACAGATGGGCAGCCGTCGGTGGCCAGCCCCACGTACTTGTTCCACTCAAGGCGATACTTCTCGATCAGAGCAACAAGGGCGTTATGTCGAGTCCTTCAGTAGTCTCGCGTAGGGGGACGAGGTCGAGCAGCTCCTCCAGGACGCCCATGTCTTCGTCGGTGCCGCGCTCAAATATAGTCAGCTTCGCCATATCGGATGAATCCGTACTTTTATCCAAAGCAAGTGTAGAGTGCGAGAATGTTGCACACTTGTGACGCAGCTGGCTTGCGAGATCCCTCGCGATGTCATCAGCCCTGTCCGCCATGGTGTTCGGCGACACGGCGACAGGCTGAAGGTCTGAAAGTACGCGACGGCATCGGGAGCGACAATGCTAGCCGCAGCTTGGAGGCAGTCCTTGATAAAGGTGCCGTCAGTAAAGGGCTTTCCCCGCTTCAACAACATGTCGCTCAGAACGAAGCTCGCGTGCTGTGCGGTACCGCTTCTCTGAAAAGTAAAAAAAATGCAACGAACTACTCTGAATGAAGAAATAAATACTAGCTATATGTACGCCAGACCACGTCTCACGCAACAGGCTTCGCGATATCTCACGAAACACTGTTACGCTACGACGCTAGACTGTCCAGGCCAAAAGTCAAGTTGCAGGTATCGTCGCTCTCCGGGTCGGAATCGATTCTTTGGACAAAAATAAGGTGTACGTGTCTCAGGGATTTTCAATTTTCGAAATAAAACTAGGTATATGTACGCCAGACCACGTCTCGCGTAACAGGCTTAGCGATATCTCACGAAACACTGTTACGCTGCGACGCGCCCGGCATACATCTACCTAGGTCTGCGGCGCTGACACCCGAGTCGGGCCAAAGTCGTGAGTAGGCACTCGGCCCCAAAAGTGACAAATATTGTTCTTCGGGGTTTTATTTTTACGAGTTACCTTACTGGAGACAAATATCTGAGAAAAAACATAGAAATATTTTGCGGTCATTTTCGTGTAGAAAACTCCCTCTAGTGCCTAAACGGTTAGAGATAGAGCCAAATGGACGAAACTTTCGCCCGAAGAGCTCTACTTTCATGAGTTACCCCTTAGGAAACAGTGAAAAAATATTTTTTAAAAACTTCATTTTGGGGACCTGTGGTTTTTAATTTTTTTTAAATCCAATTTTTGAGCTAGAATGCTCTTCTTCGAAGTCGATCTTTCTTTTTATGACACAAAACGCCCCTGAAAATCCCAGGTCGCTAGCTCAATTCGTTCTCGAGTTATCGTGCGCACAGACTGACAGACGGACAGACAGACGCGAAACTTTTTGATCACTGGAGTAATAGGCCTCGCCAATCGCTCAGCCAAAAAAAGGTTGCGCCACGGTCTCGAAGATTTTCGATTTTCTTCAATTGCCTCAAGCACTCTAAAATCGTATTATCTCACTCGGATTCGGCCGTGTGAGGTCACCCACACGCTTACATCATCTCTACACCTTACCAACTAGCTATATGTACGTACGCCAGACCACGTCTCGCGTAACAGGCTTCGCGATATCTCACGAAACACTGTCACGCTGCGACGCGCCTGGCGCACATATAGCTAGACCTGCGGCGCTGACACCCAACACAGGGTAACAGGAGTGTATATACAATTTTTCGAAATGAAGTCTTTTTAACGATTTAATCGACCATTTGATCATTTTCACCTCATTTTTGTCACGAAATGCCCCCCAGCACCTAAGCGGTACAAGAAAGAGCCAAACGGACGAAATTTTCGCCCGTAGGGCTCTACTTTGACGGTTTACCCCTTAGGAACCCATAAAAAATATTTGATAATAATACATTTTGCGACCTGTAGTTTTTGATTTTTTAAAAAGCCAATTTTTGAGCCAGAATGCTCATCTTCGATCTCGATCTGTCTTTTTATGACACGAAACGACCCTGAAAATTTCTCGAGTTATCGTGCGGACAGACAGACAAACACACAAACACACAAACAGAATGAAACTTTTTCGGTCAGTGGAGTAATGGGCTTCGCTAATCGCCCAACCAATGAGGAAAGCAGACCGTTGTCTTTACTGGGGTGTGTTGCCTACGTTCCACGGGGATGAAAATGGTCGCTTTTGTGTCAAAATCGCCGTTTTTCGAGGTTAAACGGCTTCCCCAAGCCACTACAGGAGTCCGGGTGTTACTTCTATGGTACCAAATTATTGGTCTAATGTCCCCCTGTTCAGGAGCGGGCTACGTGGACCGTACGGGCAGGTTGCATAGCTACCAGGGGCAACAAACCATTTTAGAGCATTTCCGTAAAACGAATCATGCGGGCAAAAATCGTTTCTCATCAACAAAGCTTCACCCTGAGCATTGCGGAAGGACACGAAATGTACGCTGCAGTTTCACTGCACCCCTCAAGACCGGTTGGGGTGGGTTGCCTGGCTCCCAGGAGCAATAAACATTAACAATATTGTTAGGAAGCTAATAACTTTTTGGCTGAGCGATTAGCGAAGCCTATTACTCCACTGACCGGAAAAGTTTCATTCTGTTTGTTTGTCTGTCTGTCCGCACGATAACTCGAGAACGAATTGAGATAGCGATCTGGGAATTTTAGGGTCGTTTTGTATCACAAAAGGACAGATCGAGTTCGAAGATGAGCATTCTAGCTCAAAAATTGACTTTTAAACAAATCAAAAACCAAAAGTTGCAAAATATTTATTTCTTTCTTTTATGGGTTCCTAAGGGGTAACTCGTCAAAGTATAGCCCTCTGGGCAAAAATTTCGTCCGTTTTGCTCTATCTTGTACCGTTTCGGCGTTATTGGGCATTTCTTGGCGAAAACAACGTGAAAAAGACAATGGTCCATTAAATCGTAAAAAGGCTGCATGCCACGGAACTTTAAAGGGAGAAATACTGAAACCACAGATCGCACTACACCCTCTTTTGGGCTTAAGGGTCCCTAGATTACCTAGTATCTCTAAAACGTTGATTTTTACATAACAATCTGTCAAAATTCAAACTTTGAATGAAAACCGTTACCGAACAGCAGAAGCTTCATGTCCCTAACTTTAGAGTGAGACCCCGACAAATGGTTCGAGTATGTCAAATTTTGGGCCCGGAAGGTCCTGTTCCCCTATACTCTTTCCATAACTCGTCTCGGGTGTCAGCGCCTCAGGCCTAGCTATATGTGCGCCAGGCGCGTCGCAGCTTACCAGTGTTTCGTGAGATATCGCGAAGCCTGTTACGCGAGACGTGGTCTGGCGCACATATAGCTAGTTAATCGCCGATCATGTCCGTAAGGCTTTTCGAAGGGATTTCTTTGACCATTCTCTCGCATAACAGGCTTCGCGAAGTATCACCGCACGCCTGGCATTCATATGGCTTGTCGTGCGGCGCCGACACGTCACTTATTTATGTATTTATTTTGTGGATTTGCACTATATTGCCGCTCATTCGCGCTATTCTGCATATCCTGTGATAAATTATCCCTGCTCTGTCAACTCCAATGCGTACATTGTACGCTTAAAAGAATGTGTACATGGTATGTCTACTTTGAAGAAAGCGTACATTGCCATGTACGCATTGATCAAAGTGTACATAGCCATGTACGCTTTGATCAAAGTAGACATAGCCATGTACGCATTCATCAAAGTGTACATTAGGGGCCGTTCATATACTACGTAGTTCATTTTTGGGCATTTTTGGACCCCCCCTCCCCCTCCATGACCGACCGTAGTAC